AAAAAAAAAAAAAAAAAAAAAATCAAAGGCCTTAGCAAGAGTGCATGCATGAGTCATGCTTAGTCATCGTAAGGTTTTGAGGGACGGATGGCAGCCAAATTGAGGTAGCAGTGAGTACTGTTTTTTAAGCGATTTTAACGCCACTGTTAGAATTAATTTGCACTTTCATCTCTACACACCTCATGCATACAACCACTCGGCTTTTTGTTCAGATTAAATTTTTTGGTTTCTTTCAGACCGGTAGTAGCGGCAGCAGCAGCAGCAGAATTAGCTTTGTGGTCAGTAAGTGGTGAGCTATGCGTATGCCCAGTGAAAACATGGCAGTGGAGGAGGATGTGAAGCTGAAGACGCGCTTTCAAGGCCAGGTACTCATCATATACTGTTTTCTAAAGTAGGGTTCGGAATTAAAATGTAGTAATTAAAAACTTACAAAATTATTTTCATGAACGTTGCCTCCTCATAATTTACATAAATTATTACCCGTCTCATATGTTAGTCTCCTCCTCTTCCATCTGCTCCATCACTTTTATTACTTTCTTGCTATCACACTTTCTCTTCTTCTCTTTCACTTATCCTTCTTGCAAATTAGTTACATGTCTTTTTAATACATGGCGGGTAGGAGGCTGTACTGACGATCCCCACTCCTATCCGCGTACACCGTTCGGTCTGTGTATACAGCTAAAGGATGAAACACAGACTGCATCATGAAATGTCTTCTTATACATGACACTTAATTCCAATCTTTTTTTTTTTCACTATTCGAAACCCCTTAGATGTGAGGGTAAATGCATTGAAAGTAATGTAGATGGTGGCATACTGCTAGCATCATCTGCTTCCCGGCATCATTTTTACCTTTTGCTTAGAAACTTGTTGATGGCTGTTCTAAGCCCCGGCGCCTGCCAGCAAGTATTCACCACCAAAGCAAATACTTGCACAAGTATTAAATCTTCCATCTTCGCAGTGCCTCTATTCCCCTTCCACCTGTTTGACTGTTCTTCGCCCGGTTGCCTGGATATTCCTTTTCCCTTTCCTCAGCTCGTCTTAGCCTGCTCTAATTTATGTAAAAAGTATATTTTTCATGGGAGATATTACAGGTATTGGTTTTGTATGCGAGGATCCCATTGCGCATGGAAACGTTTCTGAGCAGTCTTAGGGAAGCTTGTAAGCAGGCCCAGAATCAACCAATCACCGTCAAATGGATTGATGAGGAAGGTTCGTTTGGGCTTTGAACATAAGGACTTGCCCAAAAAGTCGGCGGGGGAAAAGGTGGTTTGGGAATGGAGAGTCGGATTCCCGTCGGAGATCCGATCTCCAATGGCAACGTCCCTTTCCGACGTTCGACTGGAATTTCATCAAAAAATGGTTCACGTTTTTGTTTTATTTTTGTATTTTATTATTTTGGTTGGGGGGAGGGAGGCAAGGCGAGAACATCGCCTTTACATCGTAAAAGAAACGCAGATTTATAAATCCTAAAATATAATGAATTCCAAATGAAAAAGTTGTTTTGAAGTCTTATGAAAAGGGCTAGTTTTGAAGGATGGTAGAGAAAGAAAAATGCCATGACAGCGATCCCTCTAAGCGGAACGAATACGAGCTTCCACTGCTGTTGCAGGGTGAGCCTGGAGAAATAGGGTGAAATGTGGTACTTGAATGGTACCAGTTGGTAGTGCTGGTAAGGCATGAGAACTTTCTGAAGTCGTTTTACGCCACTTGATTTGCTTCTCATTTTTGACGAATAGCATTTGGCCTCGCTGCTAGTACTTTTAGCAGATATGATTGGGATTTTTACTGTTATCATGAGACGCACGGAATACATTGCAGTGCCCGACGTTTTCCAGTCCTCGGAATATCAGTCCGATAGCGGAAAATTCTGGGCACCTATTTTTCACTTTGTCAGAAAAATAAATACATGCGAAAGTGTTTCAGGGGATATTTAGCGCTCTAACAAAACTATTAATTCTTTGGCAATTTTGTTCATATTTTCGTTTTCGAAATCTTAGACATATGCAGACGAAAGGCACGTTTTGCTCCCTGGCATTTTTCACCAGTACCATTTGCTACCAAAACGAATCGTCAAATTATAGAAACACTGGAATCGTCGACTGCAGCAGAATTGGAATCGTTGACTGGAACTTTAAGAGCACACGGCCCTTTCTACTGCGCCAAGTCCATTAGCTGTGGGGAGGAGAGGTTCCAAAATTAAGAAATTCCAGACTTTGTGCAGATTGATTCGGGCCATTGAAGTAGAGCCCTGGGGTGAGCTCGAGAAAAGGCATAGCCGCATCCGGTGTTGTGGATGATGGTATTGACGTTACACATTGCAGTTACCAGTAGCAGTTCAGCAATTGTCAGTTTGTTTTCTAAAATAACCAATGTTTAGGGGATCCGTGTACGATCTCGTCGCAGCGCGAGTTGGACGAAGCGGTGCGTCTGTTGCATGCAAATGGCGAAGCGGAGTTGAATGTGCATGTTTTCCTGGGCATCCCCCCGCTGCCCGGGCTTCCTTGCAATGGAGAAGACAGTGCGTCATTCACTCTTCCTTCATTTGTCCCTTTTTTTATTCACAGCATACCTCCGACAACTTCTAAACTTTCATTTTTGCCTTCACTGGAATCTTTTCCTTTCAAAAATGGACTTAATCACTGACAGAGTTTTAATCCTTACACTTGTGCATGCATATTTATATCAGCAAATTATGTCCCACCGTGGCAGCGCCTACGTTCGTCTTCACTGATAGATCGCAGCATCAAAGTTTAAAATCCCTTCGATCAACTTCTTTTGTTTTCGAACAAAATGTCTAATTAAGAGGCAGGATGATCCATTTATCAGCGCGGATATACTTTTTTTTACTTGCTTGTGCTGTCTTCGAAGAGGTGGCACGCATATCTCGAGTAAGAATGGGTCTAAGTGGAAACATCAATCTCGAAGTCGAAAGGTACTCAGCTCAGTGTTCTTTGTCCGACTGTGAAAAAGACCCAAATGATATTTGTTACCAAATATGTAACTTCAGCATTGTAGTTTTCCTTGTTCGTCCAGTGCCAATGATTCAGAGACGGTTTATCGGCGAGGTGCGCGTCGGTGGAAGAAATTTTATCATGTTAATGGGCATCGATTCCAAGCAAAGAGGCTCAATCGACGAGTTCAGTGTTTCTTTTGCAACGACTATATTTGGGGCCTTGGACGGCAGGGATATCGATGTGCCGATTGTCGACTGTGCGTGCACAAGAAATGTCACAGGGCCGTGCGGCAACCCTGTGGTGATGTTAGTCTTGCAGATGCTTAGTGCTTGTCACTGATTCCTTTCTTCGATAATTTATCATTCGACTCTTGTGCGCCTTCATGGAACTTAAAATCTTTCCATGGTTGGGTGGTGTAAACTGAGATCTCTGAGCTGTTATGATTTCTTCAGAGTACTGCTGCTACTGACGCTGCTGGAGCAGTGGTTGTGCCGTCGCCTTCTGCACCAGTGATTTCACCTCGATTCAATGGAACCGCGGTGGAACGTGTTGGGCTCGATAATCAGGCCTTCAAGGAATCAGAAATCGAAGTGGAAAATGTTGTCGATGTGGGTTTTTCCACTCACTTTTTTTTGACTGAATTCCAGCTGTCATACAGTTTTTATGCGTTTTTTTTTTTGCATCTATGCAATGCAAGGAACGTGTATTGTCGAGGGACTGTCTGCATATGTGTGTATGCGCGTCTGTACCGATTTTCCATCTTGAGACCTACAAAAGCTAAAGGGCTGGAACTTCAGTAACTTCACCAACGTACTGGCCCCAGTCTTCAAAATGAACGCTCCTGTCCACATGACTCTCACGTACGAGCCCGTGGAAATTTTTGCCGAGTAAGCTGCTAGCTCGGGAACCGAAAAAGCCAAAAATTTAAAATTTTAAGTGGATGTTCTCCGCTCACCCAGACACTGGGCATGCGTATTTCCCATTTACGGGCCTGGGAAAGTTTTACAGGTAAGTTGCTAGCTCGGCAAACAGAGAAACTGGGAAGTTGGAACTTTAAGGGGATGTTCTCCGACAGTCTTGATGGCAAGTTTCAATTCTTTTAGTTAGAAGTATCTGCCGGGAAAAACAGTACCGTTAGCGACAAAAACATGCGAGGAACTGTCAAAAAAACGCATCTTCGCACCGGCAGTCGGTGCGCAAGCCAGTTATTTTTTGTTTTATGTCGGATCGTAATTCGTATGGTTTATTTTTTCTGTTTTTGTAAGTTGTGGATTTTGTAAGCGGAATTTTGTTAGGTTACTGGTGGCAGCCTTCGGCTGTACTCAGAAAACTGTCTATTTATTGAAGGGAGGGAGAAGAGCATATGCCGCAAATGATGACCGCTTTTTAGGGTTCACTGCTGTTCCACCTTGATTGCTGACCCTGCAAGTGCGTGGTAGAGGCTACTGCCCAACTGGCTTTATCTCACGAAGGAAACTTATAGCCTTTTAAAAACATGATATTTGCACAAAAAAGAATAAATGATCTTGCAAGTAAGAATAAGATCAGTTTTTCTGATCTTATTCGGACAAAAAAGGAAAATTGTGTGACATTTTAGATGGAATAGTTTTGCTCGAGCATTTTGTTTCACGGCGGCATTTAAGGTATGTGGTGCGTTTTGCCTGTGATACTTTCCCTCCTTTTTTTTCTTTTTCCTGAAATATGTGAAATATTTTTCTAGCTGTTTCCAGTTTTAGCAGTCCGGGTTGGCGGAACATCGTGCCGATGCAGCGAAGGACTCAAAATGGACAGTTTCGTTGGATGATTTCACTCTTTTAACAGTGATTGGAAGAGGTAAGCACTTTTATCTTTGTTCAGGCAGCTGCCCTTTTGTCGTTGTATTCCATATTGTTTGGGTTGACACCTCTAACTTTCTTCTTTATCAAGGTTTGCATAATGCAAGTAGTTGTTTCGTGGGCATTCAGACGAATCGGTCCATCTTATTGGTGGCCTCCCTTCCCATTGTTCGTTGTATTGGTACTACTGAGCAGTCCTTGTCTTTCATCGTCTTTTATGAGTATATTCGTAAATGTTGTGATGGAAGCAGCCGCCTCAAAAGCGACATTTTCAGGTTCTTATGCAAAGGTGATACAGGCGGAACACAAAAAGACCAGTACCGTTTACGCGATAAAGATAATCAAAAAGCAGATGTTTAGCGAT